ACCACATCTGGCCGTGACATCTTTTTAAGGTTGAACCTTTCTTGATAACATGTGCTGCGTGGCTTTCTTTGCATTCAAAGTGTTTCATTGAACGATTTCTTGATATGGATTGTGTGTGCATATTTTTGCATGTTTATTTCTGAGAGTTTTGTTTTTCTGGGGTGCGCTATTGCAAATGGATGTTTCTTCTTTTTTCTAACTGCTTGTTTGTACATAGGAAGATTGTCTGAGGCCAGGCTTGGTGGCTGAGGCCTGTAATCCTAGCACTTTAGGAGACTGAGGCAGACGGATTGCTTGAGCCAAGGAGTTTGAGACCAGCCTGGGCAACCTAAGATGACCCCATCTCTATTTATTTATTTTTCTGAGACAGGGTCTTGCTCTGTCACCCAGGCTGGAGTGCAGTAGTGCAGTTCCAGCTCACTGCAACCTCCACCTCCTCCACCTCCCAGGTTCAAGCAATTCTCATGCCTCAGCCTCCTGACTACCTGGTATGACAGGAGTGTTTTACCACACCTGGCTAATTTTTGTATTATTAGTAGAGTCAGGGTTTTGCCATGTTGGCCAGTCTGGTATGAAACTCCTGGCCTCAAGCAATCTGCCTGCCTTGGTCTCCCAAAGTGCTGGGATTACAGGCATGAGCTGTGCCCAGCCTCATCTCTGTAGTTTAACAACTAAGAAAAAGAAGGCTGTTTAGTATGTTCCTTTTGTACCTAACTCTTTAGCAGAATCTGTCTGCCTCATTTTTCAGAGTAAATATGACTATTTCACCTTCTGCCTTTTTCTTTAATATCTTCCTTTGCTCCTTGCCTAGTTGCATCAGCTAGGGCTTCCAAAATAATAGTGGTAACAGAGGGCATTCTTTTGTTCCAAAAGTTGATGGAATCTTCTATTGCTTCAATCCCTTACAAATGATGCTGGGCTTTGCTTTGATGGGTGTATGTCTGTATGTCTGGGTGTAATTTCCTTTATTGTGTGTAATCTAAGGAAGTATTCCTTTTCTTAATTTGATAAGTTTCTTTTATAAATTTTGTAGTCAAATGCCTTTTGAACATCTATGGTGAGTATAATTTTCAACATACTAATATAAATGAAGAGAAGATGTTCTAATTTCGAGCCATTCTTTCACACTGTACAAGTCTCCCTTGGTTTAGGTAAGTTTTTTTCAGCCCCAGTGGGGTTTATTTGCTAATATATTATTTTGGATTTTCATACGTTGATTTTTATGTAACTGTCTTTTCTTGTTTGTTTTAGAGATATGGCTTTGCTCTGATGCCCAGGCTGGAGTGCAGTGATGTGATCACACTTTACTGTAATTTTAAACTCCTGGGCTAAAGTGATCCTCCTGCCTCAGCCTCCTGGGTAGCTGATATTACAGGCACGTGCCACCACACCTGACTTAATTTTAAATTTTTGTAGAGACAGAGCCTTGCTATGTTGTCTGAGCGGCAGTTCAGTGTACACTGTAGATGTGAACATTTACTGGTCTTTCTGCTGGAATCATTCCCTCTCCCATCTGTTTGTCTTTAAATTCTGGGCATGCGCACACACTCCACCTGCACATCCTAACTGCAAATACTGATGTTGTCCAACCTGCCTTGAAAAGAGAGAACTGTTTTTCCCTCTTTGTATCTCTGCTGGTGTTCAGTCCACTGCTGTGTTTTCGGTAAATACTTGACCCACAGAGTTTGGGAGGCAGGAAGGGAAGGCTTCTGCATTTCCTTTGTGGACCTGACATCATGAATCCATTAAGCATATTGGGAAATTAGCAGGTCAGGTGGCTGCACACTCTAGTTGCCTCTGACTCTGAATTGCTGAGGGCCCCCTGCATGCCAGTGACTTGCTTTTCTTTGTGAGTTATCTCTTCACTCATATTCCTAGGATGAGTTCCCCAAACAGTGGCTAGCACAGCACCTGTAACAGTTGTGGGTGCATATCTGATCTTGCATGACCTGACTTATAGGGTGTTTTGAACAGGTGCTACCTGTTATGGCTTGGGCTAGGGCTAAAGTTTACTTGACTTCCTTTCATAAAGTAACTGGTAGAGTATGTGGCATAAGGCTATTATTTCAAAAGCAGAAGTGGTGGGGGTGATTGAGCTTGGGCAGCATTGGGAGGCAGACAGACCGGCATCAGCACCGTCCTGGCCATTTGTAGGTTATATGACCTTAGGGGAATCCCCTCAACTCTCTGAGTCTTTGTTTCTTCCCTCATTAAGGAGATCATCCATTCCTCATTGGACTATTTTAAGGCTTAAGATCAAACGTCTTTCAAGGCACTCGGAGCAGTGCTGGGCTCTGGGTCTTTAGGCTGTAACCATAGCAAACACTCAGATCCCCGCCACCCTCGCTTCTCTTCCCTCCAGTGTGGGGATGTGGAGAACCAACCTTCTCATTTCCATTTACCCTGGAGTTGTTTCTTTTGAACTTCATCTAGTACCTGCTGTGCACCAGGAATTCATGGGTGAGGAGGACAGGGACAGCCAAGTCTGGCATCTGGCCTTCAGCTTGCTTCAGTCCCTGTGGCTGACACCTGGCCCTTTGCTCCGGAATCTGGACCCTACAATCTACTACCAAATGCTCAGCCCAAAGAGGACGCCCCCTATCAGTGAGAAGAATGCATAACTGCCCACGTCTCCCCATCTCCTGAGCTGATGATCAGCCCCAGCAATCCAGAGACACATTCTTGTATTCTGCTAGGTTTATTCTTCAGTTGAAAACTCAAAAGAAAATGTTATGTTCCAAAAGAAGGTAAAAAAAACTTCGAATGCTCTAGCCTGGGAGGCTGAATTCACAGGTGCCCCTACCAAAACAGAGGCCTTCGAAAGACTTCTGTCCCCGTGTGTCTACCCCAGAGAGCAGCTCTCTATTGGGCTTCTGAAGAGCTATCAGTTCCCCTCAAAGAAGCTCCTGCCTCAAGAGATCCCCGGATCAGGCAGGGAAAGCCAGGACTGGGCAGCCTGAGAAGCTGACTTCATGTCCTCCTGTGCACAGTCAGCGTTCTGAAGTGGTGGTTTCCCACATGGCTGTTGAATAAGTTAATAAATACCTTGGGCATGAATAGGAGCTGGTAGAGCTCTCTCTGCAGGGCCAGGACTCGCTGGCTACGCTGTCTCTTGGTTTACAGTGAAGGTGTGGAGGAAGGGGGAGAATTAACCAGGCCAGTGGGAGAGTTTCATGTCCTCACAAGTATTTTTGAATGCAATGGCAAACAGCTCATCTTCTCTGCATTTGAAGCATGTATGGTTCTGAGTTTCCCAGCATTCCATGCTGGTTAGTCTGTCCCAGCCAAGAATCTTGCCCTTGTCAAGGAGCTGGAATTAGAGTAGAAGGTGGAGGAGTTTGAAGTCTTTGGCAGCCTAGTGCTAGCTTAGATGAAATCTCAAACTGAAAAGAAGAGAGAAGAGAGAAGTAAGGCCAGACTATGGGCCCCAGAGGAGAGGGGGCCCAGCTTTTTTCTGAAATAAATTATGCCGAGGCCCCTAGTACAGCCCCTGGCCCTCCTTATCGAAAGGACAGCTCTCCATCCACTCCCACCCATCTCCCTCTCCCCTTTCGGTAAGAGCATCAGGGATGGGTCGATGAGTCCTGACACCTGCCAGGCCTTTGCAGGCAGTGGTGTTAGGCCCAGCCTGCTGCGTTCCTGGAAAATTGAACAAGCATCTATGGAGCCCTCACTCCATGTCAGGCTCTGCCACCAGCACCCTGAAGACAGAAGACCAAGACATACTTCCCAGCCCAGGGGAGGGCGGAACCTTAGCCCACAATGCATTGAGAGCTCAGGATGCATCCAACCCAAAGTGCAAGCTAAAGGGAACTCTCACTGTGTGGGTAGGATCTTGAGTACAGTTTGCAGTGGAGGCTGCTCAACTGTTTCCCTATCAAGTGTGGTGGTCACGGACACAGACTGGACACTCAGGGCTACCAGGGTAAGGAAGCGCTCTTGTAACCCTCATCTGTTAGGAGAGGAGAATGGTTTAAAAGATGGGCGTTATCTAACGTCTTTGAGATGGAGTCTAGCCCTCTCACCCAGGCTTGAGTACAGTGGCTCACTGCAACCTCTGCCTCCAGGATCAAGCAATTCTGCCTCAGCCTCCTGAGCAGCTGAGATTACAGATGCCTGCCACCACACCCAGCTAATTTTTCTGTTTTTATTAGAATATGGGTTATAGTCAGGCTGGTCTCAACTCTTGACCTCAGTGATCCACCTGCCTCAGCCTCCCAAAGTGCTGGGATTACAGGCATGAGCCACCACACCCTGCTATTTATTTTTTTTTGAGATGGAGTCTTGCTCTGTTGCCCAGGCTAAAGTGGAGTGGCACAGTATCAGCTCACTGCAACCTCTGCCTGCTGGGTTCATGTGACTCCCCTGCCTCAGCCTCCTGAGGAGCTGGGACTATAGGCATGAGCCACCACGCCTGGCTAGGAAGTGCCCTTCTGTCCCTCATCTGCTAAGAGCAATGTCTAAATGGGCTTTAGGTGGCCTTTCTGCCATCTCTCTCTACTACATTCTGGTTCTTTTTCAGTATGTAGTTTTCAGTAATTAGTAAATTAGCTGATTGGCTAAATTACTAAACTATAAATTTAGTGATTAGTAATTTAAATAATTTCTGGTTTCCTGCTGAAATCTATGATCTCTGTCTAATAAGCCTACTATCTGAGTCTTGTGGGTCTGTCTATTATTGTCTGTCTGTGCTAGTTTTTACACTGAGAATTGTACCTCCCTAAGTGTGTTTTTTATTACTACGGTGTTGATAATCGTATCATCATGCCCAGCACGGAGGTGCTCAATAAATATACATTTCCAGTGTCAAAAATATTCAATGTGGTAAAACACAAAAAATTTACAACGACCATTTAAAGTACCCACTTCAGTGTAAGTACAATTATATTTTTGTGCAGCCAAACAAACTCTGGAACTCACTAAATCCTGCCAAACTGAAACTCTGTCCCCATTCAATAAGTCCTGGCTCTCCCAGCTCCTGGTTGCCACCACTCTACTTTCTGTCTCTGTGAATCTGATTACGCTAGGTCCTTCCCATCAGTGGAATCATACAGCATTTCTCTTTTTGTGACTGCCTTATTTCACTTTGCATAACGTCCTAAAGGTTGATCCATGTCTTAGCATGTGTCGGAATTTCCTTCCTTTTTAAGGCTGAATTATGTTTGACTGTATGGAGAGACCACATTTGTTTATCTCTAGGCGGGCACTTGGATTGCAGCTATTTTTCAGCTCCTATGAACAATGCTGTGCCGAGACCAGCTCAGCCTCAGAGACCGCAACTCATGCGGCAGTGAAGGAATTAAGAAACAGACACCGACATAGCAAAAGGTGGGTTCAGAGTGGGGCACCAGGGTCTCACAGCACTTCCAGCTGAGAGTCCAGAGCAGACTCTAACCAATGTATTTATTCTTTACGTTCCAGTGACAAGTTTTACTAGAAGATGCTCTGTGTTCTTTCATTGGTTAAAGTAAAGGTAAACTTACCAGGCAGCTAGTGTGTGTTTACTACAAGTTAAAGACAAACTAGAAAGCGCTCTTTACAAGGGAACAAAGAAAGGGTTACCCATCCTGTGCTCAAAGAACTGATTCATCTGGCGTGAGACACAATTATATTGAATACTGTTTATAGTGCTCTGAGCAGTTTGCTGCTTTGGGGCAGTTTTCCGCTTTGGGAGGCCGACTAAGTTTCCCTTGCCACCTCTCTCAATAGGATTTCTCAGCAAACAATATGATTTCTCACTCAACAACGCTGCTATGAGCATCAGTGTATAAATGTGTGAGGCCCTTTGAATTGTAGAGTGTACACACCCAGAAGCGGAAATGCTGGATTATATGGTAATCCTTGTTTAGAGACAGAGTATCGCTCTGTCACCCAGGCTGGAATGCAGTGGTGCAATCCTGGCTGACTGCAACCTCTGCCTCCTGGGTTCAAGCAATTCTTAACCCTCAGCCTCCCGAGTAGCTGGGATTACGATTACAGGCCTGCACCGCCACGCGTGGCTCGTTTTTGTGTTTTTAGTAGAGATGGATTTCACCACGTTGGCCAGACTGGTCTTGACCTCCTAACCTCAAGTGATTCACCTGCCACGGCCTCACAAAGTGCTGGGATTACCAGTTTGTGCCACCATGCCTGGCCTGTTTTACACTTTTTGATGAAAAGTTTAAACACTGTTTTCCATAGTTAAGCTCCATTTTATATTCCCAGTAAGAGTACACACGGCTTCCAGCTGCTCAGCATTCTCTCTAAGACTTTATTTTCTGTATGGATTACAGCCATCCTAATGAGTCTGAGGTGGCCTCTCCATGTAGGTCTTCTTTTTTTGAGATGGAGTCTCGCTCTGTCACCCCGGCTACTGTACAGTGGTGCAATCTTGGCTCACTGCAATCTCCCCCTCCCAGGTTCAAGCAATTCTCCTGCCTCAGCCTCCTGAGCATCTGGGAATTCATCAGCCAAGCTGGTCTCAAACTCCTGACCTCAAGTGATCCGCCCATCTCGGCCTTTCAGAGTGCTGGGACTCCAGGCGTGAGCCAGTAAGTCCAGCTTCTCCGTGGTTTTGGTTTCCCTAATAGTGATGGTGAGCATCTTTTTATGTGCTGATTGGCCATTTGCACCTCTTATTTGGTAGACTGTCTATTCACATCCTTTGCACATTTCTGAACCACGTTAGTGGGGTTTTTGTTGTTGCATTGTGAGAGTGCTTTATCTGTTCTAGATGGGAACTCTTTGACATGTAATTTGTACATCTGTCATTCCGTAGGTTTCCTTTTCAGTCTGTTAATAGTATCCTTCGATGTAATCCAATCTGTCTACTTTTCCTTTTGTTGTTTGGGCCTTTGGTGTCATATCTAAGAAATCATGGCCAAAGGAAGCTATCCTTCTATGTTTTAGAAGTTGTCAGCTGGGAACAGTGGCTCCTACCTATAATCCCAGCACATTGGGAGGCCGAAGTGGGTGAATCATGAGGTCAGGAGTTCAAGACCAGCCTGACCAAGATGCCCTGTCTCTACTAAACGTACAAAAATTAGCTAGGCGTGGTGATGGGCTCCTGTAATCCCAGCTACTTGGGAGGCTGAGGCAGAGAGTTGCTTGAACCTGGGAGTCGGAGGTGGCAGTGAGTCGAGATCACGTCACTGCACTCCAGCCTCAGTGTCAGAGTGAGAGTCTGTCTCAAAAAAAAAAATGAGTTGTATGGCTTCAGATCTTACACTTGGTTCTTTGATTCATTATTGAGGGTTTTTTTTTTTTTTTAAAAAAAAACATGATATAAGGTAAGGCTTTAACTTTATTCTTTTGCCTGTGGACATCTAGTTTTCCAACGCCATTTGTTGAAAGACTGTCCCTTCCCTGATTGAAGTCTTGGCATCCTTATTGAACTCATTTGACCATATGTGTAAGAGTTTTATTCTGCACTCTGTATTCCATTCCACTGGTCTCTCTATATGTCTTTATTGCCGTACCACACTTTTGACCACTGTAGCTTTTTTTTTTTTTTTTTTTTTTTTTAAAGATAGAGTCTTGCTCTGTTACCTGGCTGGAGTGCAGTGGCACAATCTCGGCTCACTGCAACCTCTGCCTCCTCGGCTCAAGGGATTCTTCTGCCTCAGCCTCCCGAGTAGCTTGGACCACAGGCGTGTGCCACCACACCTGGCTAATTTTTGTATTTTTAGTAGAGATGAGGTTTCATCATGTGGGCCAAGATGGTCTTGATCTCTTGACCTCATGATCTGCCCACCTCAGCCTCCCAAAGTGCTGGGATTACAGGCTTGAGCCACCATGCCCAGCCCTCTGTGGCTTTCAATAATACGTTTTGAAACTGAGAAGTAAAACACTTCCAGCTTTGTTACTTTTTCAAGATTGCTTTGGCCATTTGGAATCTCTTGAAATTGCATATAAACTTTACACAATTTATAAGGATAGATTTTTCTGTAATTGAAGAAAAAATGTCACTGAGATTTTGAGAGCAATTAAACTAAACCTGTAGATCACTTTGAGTCGTATTGACATCCTAATGAAACTAAACCTTTTAATACATAAATATGAGATGCCTTTACATTTGTTACACAGTCGGTCTCTGGAACTGAAAACCCTGCGAGAGTCTGCCTCCTGGTTGAGTTTATTCCTGTTTTATTCTTTTTGATGCCATTGTAAACTGAGTTTTTTTTTTCCCAGATAGTGTCTCACTATGTTGCCCAGGCTGGGGTACACTGGCTATTTACAGGCATAATTATTATAAAAACTGACAGCATTGACCTGCCAGGCTCAAGTGATTCTCCTACCTCAGCCTCCCAAGTAGCTGGAAATATAGGCATCCACAACCAAGCCAGAAGAAACTATTTTCTTAATTTCCTTCTGGGATTGTTGACTGTTAGTGCGTAGAAATGCAACTGACTTCTGTATATTGATTTCATAATCCTAAAACTTGGACAAATTATTAGTTCTAACAGTTTATTTTGTGCAGTCTTCAAGATTTTCTACAAAGAAGATCATGTAGTTTGTTAACAGAGAAAATTTTACTTCTTCCTTTCCAATTTCGATGCCTTTTCTTTTTCCTTTCTTTCTTAATAGCTCTGGCTAGGATTTCCAGTATTATGAAAGCATGCATCATTGTTTTATTACTCATCTTGGAAAACTTTGTCTCATCATTGAGAACGATACTAGCTGGATGTTGTTCATATGACCTTTATTACGTTGAGGTTGTTTTGATTTCTAGTCAATTTGTTTTTAATCATGAAAGGATATTAAACTTCATGAAATGCTTTTTTTGTACTAATTGAAACAAATTATGTGTTAATTTCTCTGGTCAGGTGCTAGGGGGAAGGATGACATGAAGTCAGGAGTTCGAGACCAGCCTGGCCAACATGGTGAAACCCCGTCTCTACTAAAAATACAAAAACATGGTGGTGGACGCCTGTAATCCCAACTACTTGGGAGGCTGCACCACTGTACTCCAGCCTGAAGGACAGAGCAAGATCGTATCTCAAAAAGATAATAAAAAGTGTCTTAATATTTCTTTTTTTTTTATGAGAGTTCATAAGATGCCTTTATTTTGTAACTTACAATCACCTTTAAATTTGTCCTTCAAGTGTTAACTCTAACTGGTGACTGTTTTTCTTAAATACTTCACTGGCATTCAAGAGAGAAAAAGAATTTAGCCCTTGATTTAAAATAAATAAACCCGGCCAGACACGGTGGCTCACACCTGTAATCCCAGCACTGTAGGAGGCCGAAGCAGACAGATCATGAGATCCGATGTTTGAGACCATCCTGGCCAACATGGTGCACCCCCATCTCCACTAAAAACACAAAAAAACTAGCGGGGCATGGTGGCACATGCCTATAATCCCAGCTCCTCAGAAGATTGAGGCAGGAGAATTGCTGGAACCCAGGAGGAGAAGGTTGCAGTGAGCTGAGAATGCTCCACTTCACTTCAGCCTGGGCGACTGAGCAAGACTCCATCTAAATAAAGAAATCAATCAATCAATCAATCAAACCCACCCACCCACCCTAAGAGGAAGACAGAGGACCTTAACTGCAGATAGTACTCCATTGTTACCCTGTGGCTATATATCTTCTGAGATGCCTGTCGTCTCAGATGTTCTGTTGATGGCTGTAGTCGCTGAAAGTTTTGTATTTACATGGTCAGAACATTGAGTGCTTCTGTTTGATTCCCAGATTCTCCAACCTTCCCATGGAGTCACACCACCTCCTGTCTTGGCACTTCATGAGTCCAGTGGTCTTTCCCAAGAGGATCTGGTTGGCAGACCGTGACCTTGGTTCCTGCTTCTATTCGTAGGTTTATTCTTAGCAGCCACCACCTTTTTGGTACTAGAACAGTGCGTTTTTTATAGTGCGTTCATCGGTGGATGCTGAAACCACAACCCGGTCATTTGGATGTTCAACTAATGCTTTATGACGCAGTCCCTGCAACTCACCAACCCGTTCCAGAACTCACTGGAGCTCAGGTGTGTAGCACTACCTTGGTTTCTCTATGGCTGGGAGTGCAAACATGGTTGATGTGTTTATTTCCCATTTTTACTTTGCAGGTTTTGTTTTGTGAGACAAGCTCTTACTCCATCATGCAGCCAGAAGTGTAGTCATGGTTCACTGCAGCCTTGACCACCCATATTCAAGCCATCTTTCCTCAGCCTCCCAAAGTGCTAGGAATACAAGTGTGGCCTACATTTGAGCTTTGAGTTCATTATGTATTCTAGAAATGAGTCTCTGGAGATGAGTCCTTCATCTGATAGTTGGTTTGTAAAAGTTTTTCCCAAACTGTAGCTTATCTATGGAAATAATAATGTTATTCTGTTTTTTTATACATTAGGCAATAGCTCTAGTTACACCTCTGCCATATTAACAAAAATGTCATCCTCACACCCTTGACATTAGAATTGAAAGCATAGGGGGTTTCACCCCTTGCAATATTTAATTCAGTATAATTGTTATCTGGTTTACATTAATGACCATATCAGAGCATGGTGTACACCTCTTGCCATATTCCGAGTATTTCCCTATGGGCCGCAACATTTTCCTCTCCTTCTCTGGATATTAGGAGCAATATTTCAGGACGGTCGACCAGTCCCAGTCACATCGTAAGTAATGTCATCTGTAATCCCCTAGTTATTAGGAACAGTATCACCGGGGCTTGTGTGATTTCTAAGATATTTGGAGTAATATCCCTTAACTTTTTGAATATTACCAACAACACTACAGTAGTGGTGTACGCTTCCTGCGATATTCAGGCTATGGTCATCCTTTGTCCCCAAGATATTGTTAACTGCACCACAGAAGTGTTTTAATTTGCCTGTGATATTGGAACAATCACAAAGTGTACACGTGCTTTCACAATGAGAGTAATGCCTACTTAGGATACGATGCATAATATCACGAAATGGACACACATGTGTGTATACCCACTTTGATTTTAGAAGTCATTTTTATCTAATATATTAAAAATCATATCCCAGAATATACTCATGATGTGTGCACTTATTGGGATATTACAAACAATGCACAGAATATGTACCATATATATATTGACTGTGATGGGCGTATGTGTACACAAAAGAGATGTACATTAAATGTACATAATCTGTAAAATATGTAGAATTATATATACACAATATGTACACAATAGGTATGTAAATAATGTGTACAATATGTACATTTATTATAATACCACAATGATATCATATAATCACAAAAGCTTACACAATCCCAATACACAGGTAATACATATAAATATACATATTGCACACATTATGTACATTTACATTTATTGTGATATGTACACATGTACATCATGTACCCATTATGTAGAGATGTACAATATATGCACATGTACATATGTGTGCACGGTATGTACATATGTACAGATATGTACATACAGTGTAGACATGTACATTGTGTACAAGAGTACATAATATGCACAGTATGTACACTTACTCTGATGTACATATGTGTACACAATACAGATGTACAATAAATGTACATAATCTGTACAATATGTATATTATATGTACATAATGTGTACACAATACGTATGTACATAATGTGTACAATATGTCCATTTATTGTAATATCACAATGATATATAATCACAACAGCATATAAAATCACAATGCACATGTAATACATAATATCAATATAAATGTACAGATTGAAAACATTATATACATTTACATTTATTGTAATATTACGATATGTACACATGAACATGTATACATTATGTTCACATGTACACCCTGTACCCAGTATGTACACATGTACATCATGTACCCATAATGCACGAATGTACAATATATGCATGTGTATATATGTGTGCACAGTTTGTATATATGTATGCTATGTACACATACATACATATAACGTACATATGTACCTTCTGTACACAAGTGCATAATATGCAAAGTATGTACATGTATAAGCAATGTACACACATGCGTGTACACCCACTTGGGTAACCAAAGTAATTTCTATCTAATATGTTAAAAGTAATATCCCAGAATGTATTCATAATGTGTACATTTATTGGCATATAACAATAAATGCATAATATAGGTATAGTCTGTATATTTGCTCTGCTGTACATATGTGCACCCAATACACAAGTAGAAAAAATCTACATAATCTGTAAAATATGTACCTATAGATTTCTATGTGTACAAAATGCATAGGTACATAATGTGTGCACTATGCAAATTTCTTAGAATATCTGTGATAAAATATAATCACAGTAAGATATATAATCACAGTAATATATACATATCTTATATCACAAAGAGTACATGTTGCACACATTTGGTATGCATTAGGTACACATGTATTGTGCACATACTATGTACATATATAATGATTGTGATAACACCATATGTACACGTGTACAAATATGTGCCCACTATTTAAACTATGTACACATGTAGAAATAGGTGCAAACTATGTACCTATGCAGAGCATGCTGTTACCACAGCCCTTCTCGTAGCAGCCCCCAGGTCCACCCTGGCTACTTAAGGACACCCTGGCTAGGGGGCTGTGCCCACAGCCCCTGCCAGAGGGCCCATAACAGCTCCCAGGCCCACCCTGGCTTCTTACAAACCCCCTGGATAGAAAGCTGTGCCCACAGCCCTGCCAGAGGTCCCATAGCAGCCCCCAGGCCCACCCTGGAGTCTTTGGGACCCCTGGCTATGGGGACCCCTGTTGCAGCTCTTGGGGAAATACTCTGAATACAGCAAGACATGTACACCATGCTCCGATATGGTCACTAATGCAAACAAAAAAACAAGTATACTGAATTAAACATTGCAAGGGGTGAAACCCCCCTGTGCTTTCACTTCTAATGTCAAGGGGGTGAGGATGACATTTTTGTCAATATGACAGAGGTGTAACTAGAGCTATTGCCTAATATATGAAAAAACAGAATAACATTATCATTTCTATATGATATGGTATCCAGTATCATATTACACCACATTTTCAAAATAGCTGGTCGTCCCCAGCAGCTGTGGGCATAGCGGCCAAGTGAGGGGGTCCCTAGGCAACGACTGCCTGCCTGTGGCCTGCTACAGGACCTTTGGTGGGGGCTGTGGGCACAGTGCCATAGCCAGGGGGTTCCTAAGCAGCTGTGGTGGGCCTGGGGTGTACTACAAGCCCTCTGGGGGTGGCTGTGGGTACAGTCACCTAGTCAGGGTGTTCCTAAGTAGCAGGGTGAACCTAAGGGCAGCTACTTGCCCTCTGTCAGGGCCTTGGACACAGCCCCATAGCCAGGGGTCCCAAAGACACCAGGGTGGGCCTGGGGGCTGCTACAGAACCTCTGGCAAAGCTGTGGGCACAGCTTTATAACCGGGGGCTCCGTAAGAAGCCAGGGTGGGCCTGGGAGCTGTTACCGGCCCTCTGGCAGGAGCTGTGGGCACAGCCCCCTAGCCAGGGTGTCCTTTAGCAGCCAAAGTGGGCCTGCGGGCTGCTAAAAAGGGGCTGTGGTAATAGCGTGCATAGGTACATAGTTTTCACCTATTTCTACATGTGTACATAGTTTAAATAGTGAGCACATATTTGTACACATCTACATATGGTGTTATCACGATAAATGTACATGTACATAATACGTGCACAATACATATGTACCTAATGCATACCTAATGTGTGCAATATGTATTCTTTGTGATACTACATGGCATGTATATATTACTGTGATTATACATCTTATTGTGATTAAATATATTTTATCATTGGTATTTTTTAAAATGTGCATAGTGCACATATTATGTACCTATGCATTGTGCACATATTATAGAAATAGTTACATATTTTACAGATTACATTTTTTTGTACATGTGCATTGTGTACACATAGGTACAGCAGAGTAAATTTTCAGACCTTACGTATTTAATACATTTATTGTGATATGCCAATAAATGTGCACATTATGAGTAAAATCTGGGATATTATTTTTAGCATATTACAAATTCCTTCGGTTACCAAAGAGGGTGGTGTACACCCAGGTGTGTACATGGTTTATACATGTACATATTGTGCATATTATGTACTCGTGTACAGAATGTACATGTCTACATTATATGTACATATGTGTGCATGGTGTGTGCATATGTACACGTGCATATATTGTACATCTGTACAACATGGGTACATGTGTACGTACTGGATACATGGTGTACATGTGAACATAATGTGTATGTGTTCATGTTTATATATGGTAATGTTACAATAAATGTAAATGTACATAATGTTTGCAATCTGTACATTTATATTGATATGTATTACATGTGCATTGTGATTTTATATGCTGTTGTGGTTATATGATAATGTGATATTACAATAAATGGACATATTGTACACATGTACATACCTATTGTTTACATATTATGTACATATAATATACATATTGTACATATTATGTACATTTATTGTACATCTGTATTGTGTACACATATGTACAGCAGAGTAAATGTACAGACTATACCTATTTTATACATACATTTATTTCAATATGCCAATAAATGTACACATTATGAGTACATTCTGGGATATAATTTTTTGCATATTAGCTAGTAATTACTCCGGTGACCAAAGTGGGTGTACATTTAGGTGAGTAAATGGTTTATACGGGAACATATTGTGCATATAATGTACTCATGTACACAATGTACATGTCGACATTGTATGTACATGTGTACAGATGTACATACTGTGCACACATATGTACACGTGCATATATTGTACATCTGTACATAATGGGTACATGATGTA